TTATTATCGATGCAAAGGCCGAATCTATAGTTTTTAGAATTTTTGTCTGTCTGTGATCGTATCGCGGAAAAACCACTGGAGGGATTTTGATGAAATTAAGTATGGTGATAGCTGATTGTTCAGGTCAATATATAGGATATTTTTACTGCGGAAAAAAAACTTGTCACGGAGAAATCTATACTAAACGTTAAAACGTAATTAGAGACGAACCCTAGCGGAGCAAGGTACCACGAGGTATAAAGAATAAAATTACAAAGTAAAAGCATGTCTAACCGAATATTAGTCACGTAAAAATTAAAATAATACAATATCATCCAAACAGTATTATGACTAAAATAATAAGAAAATGGTGTAAACTAAAGTGTTTGCATGATAATAAGACAAGTACGTTATTAAATAAAACTATCTTTTCGGATTATTTCGCGGATTTATTTTGATTTTTGGTTCCCGACGTTTCGAATGCTTTACAGCATCCATGGTCACGGGAGAGACTGAGTTGTTACATGTCTTAAAGATATAGTTGTTACAGACAGCCTACCCACAATCAACAAAATGAAAATTGCACCAATTACATTATAATATTTTAACTTTAAACATGTTTAAAGTTGTTTAATTGTGCAATTTTCATTTTGTTGATTGTGGGTAGGCTGTCTGTAACAACTATATCTTTAAGACATGTAACACCTCAGTCTCTCCCGTGACCATGGATGCTGTAAAGCATTCGAAACGTCGGGAACCAAAAATCAAAATAAATCCGCGAAATAATCCGAAAAGATAGTTTTATTTAATAATGTCAAACATTCGCGTAAATCTAAGAAAGTATTAAGACAAGTACGTGTCTGTGATCTAAAGACCTCAGTTACTATGTAGGTTACACATTAAGGTTACTTGAGTATAATATTGTGTAATTAGTAATTACGTCAATATATTTTAGTTTAAATAATATTATACGGTATCTACTTACTGTCCTTTTTGTATATATTTTATTACAAAAAAATGTAAATGAGTAATTTCTGGTTTTGCTATCAAAAAAAATATTCAAATTTGTTTTAATTCAATTTCATTAAACTAATGAGTTACTATCGCTTCGCTCTGGTGCACTCATTATAGAATATCTTCATATTCTTCATCTATATAAATAAAAATGAATCACCGAAATGTATGTATGCGCATAACTTCGAATCGATTGCACCAATTTGGATAATTCTTTTATTTATTTTGAATGCTGAATGCATCATTAAACGTCATTTTATTTTTTATTTTATTTTTTTAGATTCACCAGTGGTTAGTTACAATAATACAATTTGTTATGTATATAACTCGTATGAGTACAATTTTATTAAGTTCTTGTAGCTAATTGCACTACCTTTTAAGGTGAATACCATGTCATGCAAATTTGGAGATTTTATAAAATGTTTACATTATACTCGTATCTATGTTAAAATAAACAAATAAAATATTAAATTAATAAAAAATAAAACTAAAAAAATATTAAATTAAACAAATAACAAAATACACTAACACAATTGAAATAATACACAAAAATTGAAAAAGATTACAATTTGAGTTAAAAAAAACTGTAAGAACCACAAAATAAATTAAAGGTATTTTTTTGCATTTTTTTTGGAACCTAGACAGCATGTCTCCGAATAGATCAAAGGTGCTATGATTATTAATAATAATACAAAAACGTGACAAGGGAGAGTGATTACCTAAAACAGATTTGCAAGAACGCGCTACGAGAATTTTGATCGGCGTTCGTGGACACCTAGGCACTTGTAGATGAAAAGATGATACTAGTGATGGATTGTCATATATACTGTTAATAGTTTTATATAAGAAACTTAAATCCAATATATCTCTTCTTTTTTTTCCAGACTAAACATCCTAAAATACGTAAGCCTTTCTGTATAAGTTGCAAGTGATCTAGGTTTGTCCAGTGAGAAAGCCTGATGATATAAAAAACGCTTTTGGAGCCTTTCAATTCTCAAACAGTGGGTAGCATAATGGGGCCTCCCGACAACACTTCCATACTCCAAAATATTCAAAACTAAACTTTTATATAGAGTAATTTTTGTTCGAATATTTTAAAATTTGTCTGTTGTTGTACTCGTATTGTCATAGTAAATTGTTTTGGAATTTTGTTAAACAATGAAGTCGGTTAAAAACAAATATCACACCAAATACCAAGTTCCATGTATCTAAATGACACGCATTCTTCGAATGGCTTTGAGATTTGTAACTTGTTCAATAGTTATTTTCAGTCTTTTTTTGAGTCCTTTAACGCTCCTTTAATCTTTAGCTCAGCTACTTATAATATTATGAACGAAGGGTATACAACCATTAGTTGTATTGAATTATTATCAATTGAATCAATTACACACTAGCTTAAAAATATGGATGTTAATATAGACCTAGCCCATATGGTACACTACCCTTCCCCCCCAACGTGCGTTCACCTTATCGTGGTGGGGGGGCTCAGTAGTGCCCGGCAACCCAACCGGGCGCGAAGCTAAGAAACGCACAGGGAGGTTGCCCACTTCGGTGGGCGGTGGGAGGTGGCCCTCTTCGGGGGGTGGTGTACCATGCGGGTTGCTCCTGGTACTTCTCTGATAGCAGAGTGGACCTTGGAGCAACCCCATGGTTGTGGTGGTCTGCTTCGGCGGACCTGCCGTCGGGGCGTCGTAGTTGAATGCGTAAGCGATCCTGCGACGCCCCATTAAGACGGGGGAAGGTTTTGTTGGGTTTTAGTGGGTAGTACTGGCTGTATTACGCCGGTGAGTCCCACACGTCGTGCGTAAATGCATTTCCCAACGTTAAAAAAAATATGGTATACTACACTTATTCTTAAAATCTTGCCATAAATTAATAGCCCAACCATTGTTTGTCCTATTCAAATTGTCACTTAATTCTGGTAAAATTTCCAACATCTGGAAAGAGTAGCATTAGTTCCTATTTACAAATTTGGCGATAAGCGTAACACTCAAGCTTATAGACCTATGTATTTCTAAACTTAATGTTGATGCGAAATTATTCGAAAAGATCATTTATGATAAAATATTCCCCTCATTAGACCTTACTTAATTCAACAGCAGCATGGTTTTATAGACAAAAAATGTACAGAGTCTAATCTTTGTGAATTCACTCATCAAGTTGCACGAGCAGTGGACAGCAATGGTCAAATGGATGTAGTTTATACCGATTTTTCTAAAGCGTTCTAAAATATCACATTTTTTACCAGTAAAGAAACTTAAAAAATATGGTATAGGTAAGTACATGGTGATTTACTTCGATGGTTTGAATCTTACCTTAGAGACCGCCATCAAGCTGTAACAGTCAAAGGTTTCTGTTCTTATTTTTTTTGTCAGTTACGTCCGGTGTGCCTCAAGATTCTCACCTTGGTCCGTTATTATTCATTATTTTTTAAAAGATATTAATTTAACTTTTCAAAATAGTAAAATTATACTTTATTCTAATAATTCAAAAAAAAAAAGTAATTAAAGAGATTAATTCTCCCGGTGATTGTATTTTATTTCAAAATGACTTAAATAATCTTTGCAACTATTGTAATAATAATCTTTTTACACTAAATGCTAATAAATACAACACAACCTTTCACTAGGAAAAGAATTCCAAAAGTTTATGTCTATAAATTAAATAACATATCTTTGAATAGGGTATCGGAGGTAAAGGACTTGTTGTTTTAGACTCCAAACTGACTTATGTTTCTCATATATCCTACGAGTACATAAAATCAAAAATTTATCGCATGCTTGGGTTTATTGTAAGAGTAGGCAAGGATTTCAGACAATAACACTTAACAAAACGTAACTTCAAAATGAGATTTTTAAAAATTCATTAAAAAACTATGCATTTCTCCACTTTTTCTTTGCGAATTTTCGAATAAATATTAATTATTTAAGCAATATTATTGTTCTGTAATTTATTTCTTTTTTAATTAAAATTAAATAAATTAAATAATTAATTTATATTTCCATATTCAATTAGGTATAAAATATAAATTGTTATTGTGAGTGTACCGTATGAGAAAGGCACTTTGTGCTGCTTTGCTACCGCGACGGAATTCGTATTCGATAATTAATCGTATTTTTAATGTGTCCATATTGATGAAAATAAAAAATAAATGCAGTGAAAACAAAACACTCATCAATGACTGAATTTAATAATGAAAATCCATATTTTTAAAATAAAATCATTTTTAATTTAGAATTTATTGCCTACCATTCATAAATTACGTTTCAAATGGCCAGTATTGTAAAATGGCAATTTCATACCTATTACAAACCTTCCTACTTTAGAGCTCTTTCTATTAATGAAAACCGTATCAAAAAATTGTGTGATTTAGAAAACTGACAAAGGCAGACAACGACTTTGACTTATTTATATATCCTACATAATATGTAAATAATAAACTTGTGCTTGAACTAAATCTTGCATTGTTTTATGAAAATCAGAAATTTTCCACCACATTATGTTTTTATTGTATTTTTTTTTAACTCGGCTACTAATAAGTTTATTGTGTAATGAATCAGTGACACTTTTGTATGAAGGTCAAGTAGGCTGAACCAGTTATTGTGTTTTCCCGTGAGAATGAGAGATTTTACTGTAATAAAAGGTATGCTAAATGTTGACCCGAGTTATAAATTATCACTACAGGAAATTTAGTTAATCTGTTTTGTAGTGTGTGCGTGAAAAGCAAACAAATAAACAAACCGACAATAATTCCACTATTATTTTGGGGTCTATATTCAATACATAATACTTAGCAGTAGTAAGTAGCAGTCATTGTTTTTATATATAATTTGAAATATATTCATATTTTTTGTATAGATTTCGCACCGTTACTATTATATTATTTGTTTTAAATTAAACACTTGATCGAAAAGAGAAAATAAAAATACTAATAGTGTTCAGGAGGTTTTATTAATAAAACAATAATTAAATAATACGTACGATTATTAAGATAGAAATAGAACTTAGACACACCTCTCCCAATCTTCTTCAGGAGTTATGCCTACTAACCTCTTAGATTTTTCCCATAACTTCTTAGTTAGTACAGTATCGTTAGCAAACCAGGTGCTGTAAAATTCAGCACAGTCTCGAAAATGCTTTCCGCTAGACTTTTCAACTCTGGGGTCGACAGCTAAGTAGACGGGCATTGTTGCTACTCTGTCCAAGGGCCTCCCAACTAATAAAAGTCCAAAGTTCAAGAATTGCTTCAATGGAGAATCATCATAATACCTAAAAAATTTAGACTTGCCTAAGCCTGGGTCCATACTGTATACGTTTACTCCACTATTTTTAATTCTTTTATCCATTTCCACCGTAAATAACACAGTCGCTAATTTAGCATTGCTGTAAAGTTCAAGAGTGGAGTATCTTCCTACATCATTCATGTGGTCAATGTCAATATATCCTAAAAGAAGGGAAATAGATGACAAATTCACGATCCTACTAGGCGCTGAAGTTTTCATTAGTGGAAAAAGAAGAAAAGTTAATAAAAATGCTCCAAAGTAATTAACTTGCATCATAGTGTGTAAGTTGTCAGCAGTTAATCGATCTTCTAGTCCGATAGCTCCGATATTATTGATCAATATGTCAAGCCTCGGCTCGAACGTGTTGATGTCACTGGCAAAACTTCGAATAGATTTAAGAGATTCGAAGTCCATTGTCTTTGTAATAACATTTTCGTTACCAGAGCTGTGGATGATGGTATTTTTTGTATTTAATAACTTAGCAGGATTGCGACTTGCTATGATGACTTTGGCTCCACGTTTTGCTAGATTCTTGGCAACTTCTAGTCCAATACCATCTGTGGCTCCAGTGACTATGGCTACTTTTCCATCCAATCGAACATCATTTTCACAATCCGTAAAGTCGTCTAAAATACGCATTATGTTAATGTCACTATTAGACCGGATCACCAGAGTGCAGCTTTATGACTGAGTATACAATATTTATACGCAAGGCTTTAAAAGTAAAAAAAGGTCCAAGTTTGCTTATTAACAAGTAAGTACATTTTTTGTAATATTGAAAACGTCTGCCGTTTCATGTGCGTGGCATCTACTCTATGATATGATTAATTAGTTTAAAAAAAACTAGTTGGTCTGTTGCGGAAATGTAGAAGAAATCAACAAATAGAATTTCGCGTATATTTTTTTATAAAAAAACAAGCATTACCCGCAGCTCCGCTTGCGTTCAAACGACCAAAAAAAAACTCTTACATACATATGAATATGACCATACAAGAGTTCTATACAGTGTAGAATGTATATATTTATAATTTAATTAAGTAAATATTATAAATAAATAAGTTCTAAGTTACGTTTACCGTTTTTGGGGTGAGAAGGTGATAAAATAGTCTTTCTTTTCATTTGTCAACTCGCTTTAATTTTTTAGTTCGCTTTATACACAGTCGGATTCTTTTTTATAATTAAATTTTTAATTTACAGCTTTGACCAACATATTATGAGGAAAACATAGTATGGATATTTGGAGTTTTATTTGACAATTTTGTAAATATTTTTGTAATCGCCTTTTAATATTCCTACATTTTGATATCCACTCTGTATAGGTTTGGAAGATATTTTTTGACACATAAACTTGCGCGTAAGGCCCGTTGTTTTGATTTTGGTTTGATGATATTTATATAGCCTACCAAGACGTATCTAGAGACTAAAAAAATACACAAAACAATAATCCCACAATAACATGTTTTAGGAATGTGGTGTAACTCTAAAATAGCAGTTTAAACAGTTTTAATTTAAAAGATGAGACAGGCCTGATAGAATTGACATGAAATCCTGCACTATGAGCTTTTACCAAATAACGAGTCCATATATTTAGAAAACGATTTACATGAACACAAGGCAGCATTTAAACAAAAATATCCAGAATTCGAATTCGAGAGAGGTTAGCTTTAAACCAAACGGTGGTCCTGTATTTGATAAATCGTTAAAAATTGTTATTGATATAAGAAGGTTCTGTGGAAGGTTAGACGTACGCGACAACATTGCATTGCCCATGTTTTGTTACACAAGAATATATTTTGTATCCATTTTGTTGTTACGAATTAAATAAATAAATAAAATTGAATCTAAATAGTTCTTATATGACCTTCTTCGTGTTATTTATATATTATGATGCAATTTGGTGGGGCCAAACTACTTTCAAATAATGTTCATGAATTAAATTAAAATTGATATTGTATTTTCCGCGTACTTATAGTAATAAAACTTTCTTAAAAATTTTCTCCCAATAAATAAGGAATAAAAACAATTTATTTGTAGTTCTAGCTACATCAGCAAACTATTATTATATGTAGAGTAAAAAGTAATCAACAACTTTTACAAACATCTGACGTTTTTTACGTCCAATTTCGTTAAAATTAATATAGATGTAAACCGGCAGATAAAATAAAAAAAACTGTTTTGCTCTTTAATATTATATAATATATGGATAGCAAAGATATAATTATAAATATAATCTAAAGACAGTAATTTATTGAGAAAATAATACATAAAACTATGTTTAATTAAAATGCTTTATTATTAGGTACTGTAATTTTATTAAATAATAATAACATAAAGGATAATTCAATAATTTATTTACATAATACAATTTATTTACATATATGATAATTATTATGCTTCAGTTAGTATTTTTATTTAGACACTTATTTTTTCCCAATCTTCTTCGGGTGTAATGCCTACTAACCGTTTTGATTCTTCCCACAGCATTTTAGTTAGTACAGTATCGTTAGCAAACCACGAGCTGTAGAATTCAGCACAGTCACGAAAATGTTTTCCACTTGACCCTTCTACTCTGGGGTCGACAGCTAAGAAGACGGGCATTGTTGCTACTCTGTGTAAAGGCCTTCCAAATGTCAAAAGTGCTGAGTTCCAAAATTTCTTCGATGGAGTACTATTATAATGCCTAAAAAATTCCGACTTGCCTAAGCCTGGGTCCATACTGTATACGTTTACTCCACTGCTTTTAATTCTTTTATCCATTTCCACCGTAAATAACACAGTCGCTAATTTAGCGTTGCAATAAAATCCAAAATTGGAGTATCTTCCTACATCATTCATGTGATTAATTTCAATTTGCCCAAAAATAAGACCTAAAGATGACAAATTTATGATCCTACTAGGCGCTGATGCTTTCATTAGTGGAAAAAGAAGAAAAGTTAATAAAAATGCTCCAAAGTAATTAACTTGCATCATAGTGTGTAAGTTGTCAGCAGTCAATCGATCTTCTAGTCCGATAGCTCCGATATTATTAATCAATATGTTAAGCCTCGGCTCGAACGTGTTGATGTCATTGGCAAAATTGCGAATGGATTTGAGAGATTCGAAGTCCATTGTCTTTGAAATAACATTTTCGTTACCAGAGCTGTGGATGATGGTATTTTTTGCATCTGACAACTTGGCAGGATTGCGACTTGCTATGATGATTTTGGCTCCACGTTTTGCTAGATTCTTGGCAACTTCTAGTCCAGTACCTGACGTTGCTCCAGTGATTATAGCTACTTTTCCTTCCAATCGAACATTATTTTCACAATTCGTAAAGTCGTCTAAAATACGCATTTTGTTAATATCACTATTAGACCGGCTCACCAGAGTGCAATTTTATAACTAAGTGTACAATTTTTATTCAAGGTAACAAGTAAATGAGGTCGAAGTACATCTTTTAACTTGACATTACAGTACGTCCATTTTTTTGTAATTTTGAAAATAACCGTCTGTCATTTCACAGGAACTATGTCCTGTAACTCTATGATCTCATTAAATTATTTTAAAAAAAGTTGGTCTGTTGCGGACAAGAACAAATAGAATGTTGTATTTATTTTTATAAGATAAGAACAACCTATTAATAGTAAAATAATTTAAATATAGGCAATACTGCTGCTGCTCGAAATAATACATATATTATTTCGAAGAGCATTCTACTACCTTGGTATTTTACAGATATAGGAATCTTACTTAAACTTTCAAACTTAATACTTTATTTGCAATATAGGAAATACATTAATATTTTAAATATACTTAACTTTACAAGAGGTAGTTAATTGTATTGTATTAATACAACGTATGTGATAAAAAAATATTTGGAAAAAAATTCTGAGTTTCACATATTCAGTAGCAAGTAATATATCAAGTAAAAAATAATTTATGAGAATTGAATATTTTTGGGTGAGTATTCATATATTTTTAATTCAAATAAATAAATATTATAAATAAATAAGTTCTAGGTACATGATCTTGATCTAGACTCCGTTTAGTTTTTTCGGGAAGATGCCTAATTGATGTGCTAAAGCAAAACGTTGTAGGTACGATTACTTAACTAATCAGGGCGTGAAAAAATGTGTATTACTAATTAGAAATTCCAAACTAAGGACACTTGCGATTTAAATGAATTAATTTGTTTCTATACTTGAAAGTAGTAGTTATATACAGTATAATAGAAATTTTTAGTTTTATTTAACATACAAATTAAAATTACTTTCTAGCAAAAACGCTGCACAGACTTCCAAATCACCTAAAAATATTTTTTTCTTCCGAAGTTTTTATGAGACTACCGTTAAAGTAATACTTTATCATTAACAATCTTCTTTTTGTTTGTATTCTGGTTTTTATTTTATTTACTAAGCGGTTCTCCGACATCATTAAAATATGTACTTTAAATTACAATTTTAATTATAAGTACTTTTGATTAAGATTTTGGTCAATGGAGAATTTTTTTTTGTACTTCTTAGAGTTCTTTTTTGTGTTGGGGATTATTTAAAAATTTTAATTTAATTTTTATTCCATTCACTTATTCTTATAGATAACTCAATTTGAGCCCAAACACCCTATATCTGCAGTAAGTTTCTGAGGAATTCAGCGTCCCGCAGACTATTTGATGCTACAGCATCAGCTCAACGTTAGCATGTCACGGAAATACCACCGAAGTAACAGTACACCAAATTTCAAATCAAACGGATCTGTGAAAGTTAGTAAGACCCTTTTGTCAAGTAGGAAATATTATAAGAACTATATGGGTAACAAAGATATTAGAATGAAAGTAACGCGAAAATATAAGTATTTAAAAGCTCTTTATTTCATAATTTGTTTTTAATTTCTTGGACACAATTAAAAAGGTCAAATAATCATTATAAGGTTTAGAGGTATATTTTTGCCTTCATAATGCATAATCTGAATTGCCTTAAAAACCGTATATTAAATATATATGCAAAATCTTATCGATCAAAAAATATCAACAAAATATACATTCAATCTATGCATGCATATATTACTTAAATAATTAATTCATCTTGTAATTATGTTATGATTATAATTACCGATAAGTATAATCAATATTTAAATTTTTAAATTTTGTTTTATTTTTAAACATGCTCCAATTACAAAAATAGATGGGATGGAGTAGTATTATACATAGGTAAATTTTTGGCAGGTGTACCTCAAGGAGAAGGCAGAAAAATACTCCCAAAATATAAAATAATTATTTGACCTCTTTAATTGTTTTCAAGAAACCTAAAAATATGTAAAATAAAGAGCTTTTAAATACGTAAATTTTTGCGTTGATTTCATTCGAGTATCTTTGTTGTTTTAAAGATTTTTTTTTGTATTAGGGTAGTGCCCCTATATTTCTTCTGATATACACAATCAAGTGCTGAAATCTACCTATTCTAATACTACCAGTAAAACACTAAAATAATGTGAAATATTAACCCCGAAAGCCTTTGGGCACAAACCCATATGTTTACCGATACCCAAAGAAAATAACAATGATGAACACAACGCAGCTTTTGAACAAAAATATTTAGAAATTCAAAATTGAGAAGGCGCCTTCTTTAAACTAAAGTCCTGTGTTCGATAAATCGATAAAAATAATTTTTCACCCTCGTTTATAATAATTAGTAGGTATATACTAAATCATGTGCTTTATTACATTGATGTTTTAAATAATGTTCATAACTTAAATAAAAATCGATACTATATTTGCCGCATACGAGTAGTGATAAAGCTTTCTTACAAAATTTTCCATCACTACATAAGAAATATTTTGAGGAACAAAAACATTTTAATTTATGTGTAGTCCTAGCCATTATTGCCTTTATCATAATTATATTGATTACTTTTACAAACATTTGGTGTTTTTTTACGTCTTCTTCAACTTCTAGTCCAATACCCGCTGTGGCCCCAGTAACTATCGCCACTTTTTATCCAATCGTACATCATTTTCACAATTTGTAGTCGTCTAAAATATGCATGATAAAAATAATACTCGCAGTGTGGTTAATTGAGTGTATCAATAAAGGTTTACTTTTTGCGACATTTAAAACAACTTTCAATTTAAAGTTCAATATACACTAATTTTGTTGTAGTAAATATTTTGTGTAGTAAATATTATAGGCAGTGGTAGCCCAGTGGTAACGCGCTCGCTTGGAAAACCGAGTGATGCGGGTTCAAATCCTCGGACCTCTGATATTTTCATGTGCGAACCATTTCTAACATGATGACCACTTACCTTACGGTGAAGGAAAACATCGTGAGGAAACCTACATGTCTGAGAGAACCCAGCAAGTTTTCGAAAGACATGTGAAGTCCGCCAACCCGCACTTGGCCAGCGTGGTGGACTATGGCCTGATCCCCCTCGTATTGAAGGGAGGCCCGTGCCCAGCAGTGGGACGTTAAAAAGGGCTGAATACAATACAAAATATTTTGAGATTTCGTAAGGCTTTTGTATTTATTTATATTTTTGTCTGTTCTTACTAAACATATAAAAATCCACAGATCTCGTATCTGCCACGAACTTCGGGTACATAGAAAATGAATCTGCCAAATGAACTATTTTTTTTAATATTAATTACTAGCAGAACCCGTGGCTTCGCCCGCATTCAATTAAAAAAAAGTCTTTATGTTATAACAAATATATAATTAATAGCTGTAATGTTTTTCAAATGTATTAGTATGATTTGGACTCGCACATTGAGAGTTCCGTACCGCCGAATATTGTGTTGTTTTTACTAATACATTTACACACTAAATTAAAAAAATCATCATTTTTCAGTGAAAGTGCTTTATTTTTTATGATTTTGTTTTAATTCGAATACGGTAGGACGTCCTCAGCCAGCCGAGTCACTTTTGTTAGACGAATAATTTTCTCCCTCTATTTGGGTCATTCGATTTCAAGTTTTAATAGTCGGTTGTTATATTCACGAATTTAATTTAAACTTAATCTACAAAAAATAACCAAGTTTGATTTGTAATAATCTTATCATTTCATTTTTAAACGGACTTTTTATTTTTATTTTTGCAGGAACAATCTAAAATAGGCTATTTTTTGATTGTTCCTGCAAAAATGTACGAATGTGCGAATAGACATACTAGCGGCTCACTCTCACTTCGCTCGGGTTCGTCCCTAGTAAAAAACAAAAATAGATTTGTTTTTCCTATGGGAACCGTACATATTTCCGAGATAAATAGGCTTCTTGCCTATATGCTATTCCAGACTGATGATGCTCTCCTAGCCGATTCCGGCTACGGCGGCCAATGTCATTGAGATTACGCAACTGCGCAGGAGATATTATAGTGCTCAAGTGTACGTGCAGACACAAGTGCACTCTCTATTCCTGTCACTCTCATACTCCGGTGGGACGACCACTCGACACGACCGGTGAGAGTTAAGGCGCAGGACCGACGACTTTACGTGCTCTCCGAGGCACGGGGGTGAAACACCGCCAACTTCCCAACTCCGGGCTGTTACTGAGACTTTCTATACAGAAAGACTCAATAACTAAACTTGGCCCGACCCGGGACTTGAACCCAGGACCTCCGGGTGTGCAGCCGTACATGCTAGCTACTACACCACCGAGGCAGTATAATCTATTTCTGTGCCAAATTTCATCCAGATCCGTTCAACCGTTCTAGCGTGATTAAGTAACAAACATCCATCCATTCAAACTTTCGCATTTATATTCGTATAGCAGTAAGATTCTATAGATTTTATTTCATTGGCTGGAACGAAGGTCGATGCTTTATCTAAACTGCTAGATAATAGGTACAATAGGGAATTAAAAAAAAATGGTATTAACACATGTAATTGAGAAGGGGTGGAACAGCTAGTGTAATTTTTATAAAAAATATCATAGAAAGATTGGTATATTAATTTTGTTTTGGAATTTAAATTACATATTTTACAGTCTCATGGCGACATCTTTTGATGACTTTTATAAAAATACATGGTTTAATTGTTTACTGTTGAGTTATTTACACTTAAAAAACCTGCATTTTATTTTATTTATTATTTTATTTAAATCATTTTATTTTATTTTTTATAAGAAAGGACAAATAAAACTCAATAATAAAAACATAAAAATTGTTCTTATTTTGTATACAAAAGTATGTCGCAATATTAAAGTTACATAACAATGCTTATGCAATAAGTAAAGTAAGTCTATACAGTTCGAATACAATTTTAATTGTCATTTTCCCAGTCTTCTTCAGATGTTATATTTAAAATAAGTTTTGATCTATCCCACAGTTCTTTTGTAAGTTTACTATCACTGACTAGCCAATGATTTATCCACTTTTTACAAAATTTATAATGGGCACCGCTAACATTCTGAAGTCCGGGATCTACAGCTAACAATGTTATTTGTTTTCCCACATCTTCCTTTGGTTGCCCAATAACATCTATAAATAACTGAGAAATATTTTGAACTAAATTAGGAAGATTCTGCAATATATCTGTATCACGAACGACAAAAGGGTCAAAACTGTTAGCAGTTATACCTGTGTCTTTGAACCTTCGGTCCAATTCTGCATTGAATAAAGCCACCGCTAATTTCGAATTTGCCAGCGCTTCTATTGATGTATATCTTCCAATATCATTCCAATGATCAAAATCTAAATGTCCAATGTACATTGAAGAAGCGGAACTGTTAATAATTCGGCTTGGTGCAGAATTTTTGAGAAACGGCAGTAATAGATATGTAAGTAAGAATGTTCCGAAATAGTTTACTTGCATTGTTAAATTGATTCCATCCGAGGTCAATCTGTCCGGTAAAGCAACAGCCCCGGCATTATTTACTAGAATATCCAGACGTTCTTCTGTGGCAATAGTATGACCAGCAAAATTCCTGATGGATTTCAAGGAAGCTAAATCCAGTATTTTATATGAGATGTTTTTATTGCCCGTAATTTTTTCTATCCGGTCTCTAGCTCGGCTCAGTTTTGTTTCGTTCCGGCTGGCTAAAATAACTTTAGCTCCTTTCGTTGCTAGATTCTTGGCTGTTTCGTATCCTATCCCGGAACTGCCACCTGTTATAATGGCAACTTTACCGTTGATGCTTGCACTCGTTTCACACATTGTCCCATTTGACAAATAATGAACAATATAATCAGATCGGCGGCACTTGAGAGACTACAGGTTAGCAGGAAATTGTTACTATAAACGTGTTCTGCAACGTTATCTGTTATTAATTTTATTCAACAGTATTAAAACGACTTTTGGATACTACTATTGTTTACTCACCATTTTCTCACTTATACTGGAATTGTTGGCAGTTGATTCGAATTTAAAAGTGAATCACCTGCTTATTTTATTAACCGACAAAGGAGAAGTTTCTTAATTTACCACGTTTTTTTTATGTTAGACCACGTAAGACTTTTTACAGTGTAGTACGATTTGGATTATTCTTTTTTAATTTTTTTATTGGATAGGATATACTTCAAAATTGGTCCCACATGATGATTATGGTTGTAAAATCCACCCCTAAGTGTAGAATATAGGAATGATGAGGGATGAATTTAATGATTCATTACCTATTAAACCTACTTGAAATTGATCTATTGAATTTTTTTAAAACATTCTTCTTACTTTGCTACTACTACCTATGTCTATACTAAAAATGGAAAAATAGAAATTTAAAAAAAAGTCTTCAAAATAATAAAAAACGCTTAAAATTAAAAAAAATAACTGATTAGTAGTTTTTATTTACTATAGATACTTAATCAGATATTTTCGAAGTCGATGCCAGCTGATACAAATTACAGTACATAGCAATTAATTTATATCAGAATGTTTGTGTGTATTGTAAATGAAACATTAGCAATATAGGAAATGTGCATAACAAAAGCAGTGTCCTTGTTAACCGATTAAAAAAGAGGAGGTTATCAATTCAACATGTAATTTTTTTTCTAAAACTGTTAATAAAGTTTATTAAAATAATTATAAAATTTTGACATAAATTAAAGTTTATTATAAATTTTTAAACCACAGTTAAGTATTTTAGGTTTTTTTTTATTTAAAAATTATAGTCGACTACCAATCAGCCCTCGCTCTCTTACATAATTACCTTCTTTTAGTAACTTTTTATAAAATATTTTTACCCTCGTGACATTTCGCCAATAAATTAAGTATAATAATAAAAAAAACAATACATGGCATTCGCAATTATAATGTAAGTAATACTTTTTTAGAATTATTCGAAAATTTGACTTTGTAAATCCAATTCGCGGAATTCAAAATGTCGGAAACAAAAACTCGAAATAAAACCGCCACAAAATCCGCAAAGGAAGTTTTATTTAACACTAGCATTGTCCGCGGCTAAGCCCGCGTTTAGATGACCAAAAAGCAAGTTCTTAGGTTTTACATATTAGTAGGTATATTCTTACAATGCAGTTTTTTTATTTTTTTCTCAAAAGTGAGATATTTTTCCGCGGTAAAAGTAACCTATATGTTGACCCGGATAACCACCTTTCACCATACCAAATTTCATCAAAATCCCACCAGATGTTTTTCTGTGATGCGGTAACAGACAGACAGACATAAATTCTAAAAGCTATAGATTCGGCATCTGTATCGAGAATAATGTTTATTTCAATAAGATTTTCCAAAAAATATCTAATGTTTCAATTCAGCTTAGTTACAGTTTTATTATATGTACAGATAGATAATATATAACGATATTTAGTATATTTTGATATGTATGTGTATATTCACTAGTGTTAATGACAGTCTTCCTTCATTGATCTTATTTGTTTCCAAATAATTGAATAACTAGAAGAATCTTAAAACATACAGTAGGATTTATAAAGGTTATTACAGTGCCACTAACATATTAGTAACAAAAAAGCAAATCTATCCCGTAGAGTCCAAGTCAGTAGTCCCGTATTGTACATTTTTCTGGGATAAAAAGTATATTCCAGACTATAATCTATCTCTGTGTCAATTTTTTCTAGATCCGTTCAGCCGTTCTGGCGTGATTGAGTAACAAACATTCAAACATCTAATCATTCACATTTATAATATTAGTAAGATTTCATTCTATTTAATTTAATAATAATAATAATAAATGTTGGGACATTTACACATAGCGCCATCTAGTTCCATGGTAAGATACGGCCTACGAGGCTTGTGTTATGGATACCAGAAAGTTGATACACTACACATATATAACTTTAAATACATACATATTATAAATATAAACACCCATGACTGGAGTACAAACATTCGTGCTCATCACACAAATGAATGCCCCCGGCCCCAGCGGGACTCGAACCCGCGACCGCTGGCACATCAAGTAGGGTCACCAACTGCCAAACGTGTCGTCGAATTTGAACATCTATACATCAAAACCTTGTAGTATTGGCAAGAAAATTTCCTCATACGTTGATAATTTGTGACTTGAATCATGATTTCCATTGTTAAGTTATATTTAATAACCTAGGCAATGATCATTATAAATGAGCTTAAAGGAAATAGTATTTTAAAAGTACCATATAAGGATTTTTGATATTGATACTTCTAGTATATATCCCTACTAATTTTAAGAGCAAAAGCGTGCGTCTCTAGTAGATAATAATAACTAAAAATTAAATTGTAAAAAAACTAACCACATATGAAACATCAAAAAAGAGCCCTTTAGTAATTACCAGGAAACATAAATAAATATATACAAACATACAGGTCAAACACATAACCTTCCTTTGGGCTTCACCGGGATTGGGTAAAAAATAATGAAAGTCTTCTATTTAAGTACCCCAAGATGGCAAAAATGTCGTTTTCTGCCTTTCGATACTTCAGTAAACAAAATGAAGTACGCACAATGACATACAAGCAGGGACATGGTTTATCGTAAAGTGTTTTAACAAAAAATCTTTTAATAAGGTCATCCGTTCAACAAGCTTAATGAAATCATTTCCTACATAGGGTTAACCCTTTTCATTAGGGTTACCAAATAATCCCATCTACATATATGACCTAATAAAAAATGTGGTACAATATTACCTATAGTTTACAGGTTATTCACAAGAAATACATATAAGAACGAAGTAAAGAACACCTCCAAATGCGGCCACAAACATGTACAAAAATATCTCTATATCTATAATGTTTGTATAATTTTTGTGACTAAAAGGTACATAGCGATAATCAATCCCGCTACTAATTCTGCTACAACGAAAATAGATTTTATTATATATGCTTTAAGGATTATATTTCATTATCACTTCTTAAAAAGAGCATTAGGGTTAACCTCATAGATTGACTTATAAACGAGTAGCGACTCACCCTCGCTTCGCTCGGGTTTGTTCCTAGCTTAATTCCCAATACAAGCTTTCATCCCCATTTTCACCGCCTCAAGGGATGATTACCGGGATACAAAGTATCCTACGTCCTTCCCAGGTTCTCAAACTATCTTCTTACCAAATTTCATCTAAATCGGTTCAGTAGTTCCAGAGATTACCCCCTACAACGCCACAAACACACAAACTCACAAACTCTCCTCCTTTTAATATTAGTATAAATTCCTCTTTATAATAATATTAGTATAGATGTGGTAACCCTTACGATAGGGTTAATTCTATAATAGGGTTATCAATACAAATGATTAACAGTTTCCATTTGCTAGAAGGTGGGTTACACATATCAAGGTTTTTCTATATGGGTAACCACTTTATAAGGCTTAACTCTAAACCCGGGTTTTAGGGCCCTTGCATATAAGTATACATTTAAAATTTAATAAAAAAACAAGTCTTGTTGCAAATCAGTTTTAAAAACACTAGAGAACTAAAGATAAAAAAGTCCGCAGTTTCACAAAAATTAACACTTTAGTATCTACTACATATCAAGTTTCAATATAAGTTAAATTTAAAGTTCCTTATTTATCTATACATATAATAAAATTGTAACTAAGCCGAATCTGTACATTAAATATTTTTTGGAAAATCTTATTGAAATAAACATTATTATCGATACAGAGGCCGAATCTATAGTTTTTAGAAATTTTGTCTGTCTGTCATCACAGAAAAACCACTGGAGGGATTTTGATGAAATTTGGTATGACGATAGCTGGTTATCCGGGCCAACATATAGGATACTTTTTACAGCGGGAAAATGTCTCATTTCTAAGAAAAAATACAAAAACTGCAATGTAAGAGTATACTAATATGTAAAACCTAAGAATATGGTTTATAGTCATCTGAACGCGAGCGGAGCCGCGGGCAATGCTAGTATAAAATAAATTAGTGATTACGTCATTAAATAATTTTACTTAGACATAACAGGATTTATATTTTTAGTACGGATTGTTAAAAAAATAATATGTACATATATATAACTCTATACTTACGACTATCTTTTGACGATACGTTTGGCTCAGTTTGTAGTGACGCTACTTGCTGTGCCAGCGGTCGCGGCTTCGAGTCCCGCTGGGGACATTTATTTGTGTGACGACGAATGTTTGTGCTCCAGTCATGGATGTTTATATTTATAATATGTATATATTTAAAGTTATATATGTGTAGTGTATTAACTATCTGGTATCCATAACACAAGCTTCGTAGCTTACCATGGAACTAAATGGTGCTTTTTTTTTTTAACGTTGGGAAATGCATTTACGCACGAGGTGTGGGACTCACCGGCAAAGCCAGTACTACCCACTAAAACCCAACAAAACCTTCCCCCGAATATCCAGCTATCATTATACCAAATTTCATCAAAATCGGTCCAGTGGTTTTCTCGTGATGCGGTAACAGACAGACAGACAGACAAAAATTCTAAAAACTATAGATTCGGACTCTTTATCGATTATAATGTCTATTTCAATTAGATTTTCCAAAAAATATTAAATGTACAGATTCGATTTAGTTACGATTTTATTATATGTATAGATTTAGATATTTAATACCTTTCTTCATCTTTCCAAAAGTTTTATAACAATATTGTTATTATTGGTTAAAAGATTTGGGCGAGAATAATATAATATTTTATAAATAGAGTATACGTACCTGAAAATTTATGTATAGGTATACTTGTGTTGGTACAGTTTATTTGATAATATTTTTTTATCGATGACGAAAATTTATTTGGTGATTTGTTCTTCACTTTCAATTTTTGTATGGACAAAATTGTAAAATTTGTATGGTTTTTTGATATAGGCATTTACCTCAGACTGAAGTATTTTAGAGACGGAGTCCGCCAAAATAATTGTCGAAGTCAAAGACAGTAGCGTGATTTTGCTGTTTATGCTACTCTTAGCAATGTTGCCAGAGAACTTGTTTACTCTCTTTAAAGAATAAAAGTATCTTTAACTTATATACAACTAGCAAAATCCGCGGCTCCGCTCGCGTTAAAACTACAAAAAAAAACGCTAAAAAGATAGATTTCATAAAAACGTTTATCCTCTATTTTACCATCTTATGGGATGAATTTCGAAAAATGCTAAAACCCGTATTTATTTAATTGTATTGAAGAGCATTAATACAAAGTTTCAAGTAATTCTGATCATAAACATTTTTTTTTGAGTTGTTTTATGTGTTTTCCCGTGAGAATGAGATAATCCACCTTTGCTTACTATTTTTATTGTTTGTTAATCTCTGTATTTATTTATTTTATTTATTTATTTATTTATTCATTTATCAAATACAAAAATCATTTATACAAATCTAAGACACTCGTACTAAGTGAACTTGTATTACGAGTGTCTTGCCTTCCATGTTGAACAATATGTATAATTAACACCAACATTATTCACAGTAAAATAGCATGCATTAAAAATTAATACTATTAAGGATAATTAAAAAATATTAACAATAATTCTAATGATATGTGTATAAGTGTAATGTATGTGTGTGTGCGTATGTGTGTGTGTGCGTATGTGTGTGTGTGCGTATGTGTGTGTGTGCGTATGTGTGTGTGTATGAGTTATGTAAGGATATGTCCTATAATTGTGTGAACATGAGTGTGAGTATGTATTAAACAATCAGTTTCAAGTTAGGGATTTTAACAGATCTTCTGTTTCATCATAGGTAAGACTCTTAAGCCATGAGGTAAGAATGATTTTTGCTCTGGGACGGGGCTTGCAACTGATATTAATTAATTTATTTATTTTATTATATAAATGAGCTCCCATTATACTATTTTGTCTTCTAGCAAGGGCAGTTCTAGATTTTTTCGCTACACAAACATTTCTTGCAGTACGCTTTTGCGGTTGTTGGCTAACAGAGAAACTTGTTGCATGACATCGCAGAGACAGGCTTAAAATGTAGAGCTGTCTGACTGTTAAAACGGAGCATTCCTTGAAGACAAGACTAGTGGGATACGTAAAATTCTTACGAATTATGCGTTTAAGAATGGCTCTTTGTGCCCTTTCTAAAAGAAGCAGGTGTGTACCATGCGTACCACCCCAGGTACAGATGGCATAATATAGTAGTGGTTGAATTAATCCGAAGTAAGTGGTCATTAATGTTTCTTTATCTGCAACGGTTGCTATTTTCTTAAAGACATACATCATCTTCCTCACTCTTTGCACTAGAACATGGATGTGTTTCTTCCAGGTAAGTAAGTTATCTAAAGTTACTCCTAGATATTTAATCTCTGAGACACGAGTAATTTCTGGGCATAGGCAGTCTGATTGGTGATTCAGATCGTTGTGTATTTTTAAGTGAAATCGATCTGACGGCTGATCACTTTTACAAGCAGAGAAGGTGATGAAGTTAGTTTTCAACAAGTTCAATGTTAGCAAGTTCTTTGTAAGCCATTCATTTACAATACTGACCGCGAGTTCAGCATGAAGGCGCGCACTTTCCCAGTCCTTTCCGTAAGTAAGTAAAACTGTATCATCTGCGTATGTTACAATTTTTGTCTTTGGTAGTGACAAATTACAAAGAGTATTTATATAAATCAGGAAAAGAGTAGGCCCGAGCACGCTCCCCTGCGGAACACCGTAGCTTATGAACTCGTCTTTGCTAACATTTGAACCAATTTTCACTCTTTGTGTTCGGTGTGATAGGTAATCTTTGAATAGGTTCAATACGTTGCCTCTAACGCCAACACTCTCCAACCTTCCCAAAAGAACAGGAATAGAAACTGTATCGAAGGCTTTTTTAAGATCAATGAAGATCGCTATAGTTTTATTTTTAGCTTCTATGTTGTCAACTATATTGTTCACTAAAGTGATAATGGCATCTTCCGTGGAAATCCCCTTTCTAAATCCAAACTGTTTTTCAGAAATAATGCTATACTTATCAAGATAATTTATTAGACGTTTGTTAATGAGTTTTTCAAGTATTTTAGATAAAATAGTCAGTACAGATATAGGTCTATAATTGGAGATTTTGTCCTTATCACCATTTTTGTATATTGGATGAATTATAGCTTTCTTAAATGCTTGTGGAAAAATGCCCTGTGAGAAAGATATGTTACAGATGTGTTTTAAGCATGGAATAATTAAGTGCTTGATAGACTTTATAACACTGACTGGGATACCATCCCAACCAGTGGCACAATTATTCTTAAGCCCTGATATTACAGCGTCTAATTCCTGCTCGTCGGTATCAAACAAAACCATTGAGTTACAAGGTTGGGCAGTCTCTGTATGTTACATATAAGTGCAATAAAGAATAGTGTATAATCTCCCGCGGTAAAAAGTAGCCTATTTCACCCTCCAGCCCTTCAACTAAGTATCTCCAAGCAAAAAATCATACCAATCCGTCACTCAGCCTCGACGTGAAAGAAAATATCTATACTATAATAAAACAGTAGAGGTCGAATGTCTGTACATAGCAAAAAAAATGCTAAAAACCGAGTCAGGGGGATGTAAGAAGACAAATAGAATAAATCCAGATTTTTTTCAATTTTTTTGTTTCTCTGTCTGTTTGTACGGGCTAATCTCCGAATCTATTGAACCGATTTAAATGAAATTTTGCATGGTGGTACCTTATATCCCCGGGCAACATCTTAGATACTTTTTATCCCTGAAAATTAAATAGTTCCCGTAGGATAGTTAAAAAACTATAACAACTTATGCACCTAATTTAGTAAAATTTAACATTCTGATACCCTATATTGCCGGTGAAACAACAGGTTACTATTCATTTGGGAAAAATGAACCGTTCCCGTGGGAACCAATAGATCTCTATTAGTGTTTTTATTAAAAATAAAAAGTCAAGTACTACATTCTTTTTACCCGACCCACCTGACTTGTTAGTTGGTTTGTACCCAAGTAGGGTCACTACAAACTGAGCCACGTGTAAATGTTGGTTTAATATATTTTTAATTAATACAAAAAATAAATAATTTGTAAGACATACTTGTAATGCGCACAATATGGATGACACGTCAAGGTTATAGCTATCAAGTAATTTAAAACACATCGCAATAGTTTTTTCTTGATGAAATGTTAACCAAAACTCTGTACGCTCGTACCATCAACGTACGATAGGTGGCACAGCAGTTGTTTCGGATAATTTGAGGCTTATTAATTTTTAAGTCATTTAGCCGAATTTATATACGAATACGTATAGTATAGTATATACGTATAGTATATTTCGCTGGTCTAGTAGGGATTTAAGTCCTAGGTTAGTTAAAGCATAGTTTTTGAGTTTTATTGTTAAAGAAGATTCAGTAGCAGTCCGTAGTTGAATTGACGGTGTTATACCTACATGACTCAGAGAGAATTTCTCACCGGACTTGTTGAGTCGTCCCACCGGAGTATGATTATGATTTTATGATTTTTGTTTCGATAGATAGGTGTACGAAGAGTAGATCGCTAGTTGTCTGTGTTATTAGCTCACGGTCAAAGCTTTTTTCGGCAGAAACCTCAATAAAACATATGATAATGGAAATTGTTTATTATGGATATTAAACGATTAAAGGAGAGTTTTTTATTAAATCCGCAGCCTTTTCTGCCATAGCGATTATGACGGAGTTGGGGTACAAGGATATGGGTGAAGGCAACACACTCGCGTCCATTATACGTAAGCCTTTTACGTTTTTGACTCTGAAAAATAAAAAGATATACATATTTTAGCAACAAAACGAGAAAATAAAACGATATAATATATGGTTCTTATCGAATGATCGTATAGAAGTCTAAATTAAAACCAGCCATTCCTTTGAGGAGTGCAAATGAGAGAAAAGACAAATAACCAATCGATTCAGTTACTTACAGGTTGTTTGATTTATTTAAGAATTGATTAAACCAAAAATTCCTCTTTAATAAAATTACGACTCCACAAATTTTAGCTAGTAGTAGTTAACCAAATGTTACTCGTAAATATTAATATATTATTCAATTCGATCGAATCCCCTATTTTATGGTTTTCTATTAGCGATATAGGCTGTAGAAAGTCAACTTGTATAAAGGGCTAACCTCAATTCACTGTCGACAACTTGTCCTCCAGCACAAGTACCAGCAACATGGTGTCCAGTGACGGCCACCTCTCTTAGTAAGCATTCGAGGTATTCGTCTGGTGGACTGTGAATTTTAGCTTTCGGTTTCGGAATTGCTTTCCGGGGTGTACTTGTCGTCTTCTTTATTCTAATAATAAAAAAATATAGGTAACTCAATAAAAGAAGAATAAACCTGTCAAAATAAAATATGTCACAAATTAAATAGAAATTAACTATAAGTATATGTATATCACATATAAGACAAACAAAAACAAGTACTATTTGTAGTAAAAGAAAACAAGTACTATTTTATAAGAGAATTTACTTTAAAATTGCAATATAACTTATATTTAAAAATGAAGAATTATAATAAATATGATATTTAGTGGTTTTTTAAATTAAAATAATTTATGTTTACTTTTTCCTTCTTCGAACTAATCCCATTTGTTCGAGTTTTGTGTAGTTCCAGAAAGTGAGGCATCGCTCCGGTCGCGGCCAGTGGATTCGCGCTCCTATGTCTTGAAATGGTTTGGTTGACAATAATCTCTCTGCTCGTCTTAGCGCTAAAATCATGTTACATATATGTATATTAGTTAGATATGGATAACGTGGGCATGCACTGGCTGAATAGGAAGACCCCAAGATAGAGAAAACCTGGTGGAGGCCTAGTTTCAGCAGTGGTCGGATATAAGCTATTGATGTAATTATATATATTATATATATATATATATATATATATATATAATATATATAATTACATCAATAATATATATATAACGTTGGGTTCTAATATTAAACACTGTGGGCAGTAAGCCTTTTCGTCTACCATAATCTCAGTCAGATTTATTACCAAGCCTGAATTTAACATAATTCATTGTAAAACTAAAGGCCGTTAAGGTATATTACATAGCAGAGCTGTTTTGTAAAATAGCTAATTGTTTTATAAAATAAATGATTGTATAATCTCTCATTTATTTTCAAATCATAGTTATATACTGGCGACTCACTATCGCTCTATTTAGATTTCTCAGAGATGAGATATTTTCCTGCAGTGAAAAGTATCCTATATATTGACCGAGGCAACTGGTTATCATCATACCAAATTTGGTCAAAATTTTTCCAGTGGTTTTCTCGTGATGCGTTTCCAGACAGACATACAGACAAAAAATGGTAAAAACCGTAGGATCGGCCTCTGTATCAATAAAAATGACTATTTCAATAAAATTTTCCAAAAAATATTCAATGTACAGATTTGACTCAGAATTTTATTATATGTATAAACTTCGGCAAAATGAGTTAGAAGACTTCAGAAGTATTTTGCAATTTTTCTTCGACATTTCACAAACAGTCATAGGCAAGCGTAAAATAGGACAGATGGACAAATGACCTAAGAAAAGTGGCGGGCAGTAGGTGGATGCAGGCTACCTTATTTTTTTTTATTATTGGGAAATGCATTTACGCACGAGGTGTGGGACTCACCGGCAAAGCCAGTACTACCCGCTAAAACCCAACTAAACCTTCCCCCGTCTTAATGGGGCGTCGCAGGATCGCTTACACATTCAACTACGACGCCCTGACAGCATGTCTGCCGAAGCAGACCACAACAACCACGGGGTTGCTCCAAGGTCCACTCTGCTATCAGAGAAGTACCAGGAGCAACCCGCATGGTACTCCCTCTGCTCTCTACTGCCCTCCGAAGAGAGCCGCCTCCCACCGCCTGCGTTTCTTGGCTTCGCGCCCGGTTGTATTGCCGGGCACTACTGAGCCCCCCCACCACGACAAGGTGAACGCACGTTAGGGGGGGGGGGGGTGCAAGCTACCTAGGACCGGGATGTTTGGCACTCATTGGTGATTGGGGGCGGCCTTTGTTTATTAGTGGATAGCGATACGCTGATTGATTGGTTGGAAATGATTCGCACATGAAAATATCAGAGGTGCGAGACCAGGCATTTGAACCCATTTCACTTCGTCTACCAAGTAAGCGCGTTGCCACTGGGCTACAGTATAACTTAAGAATAATAAAAGATGGAAAAGTCAAAGTAGATAATCATAAAGAGCAATAGGAATCAAAACTAACCTTTTATCATACATTTGATATCATAATCTCGATGCAAATAGTTAGGGTCCACCACAACAGGGACGGTAGTGCTGGAATCCTTCAATGTGACAGACCCTCTACTCCTCGGCTGTACGCATGTCGCTAAGAACATGAAGCCTTCTTTACTAGTATCATTGTGGAAAGGAAATGATTCCCGAAATACCTGTTAAATAAATATGTACATAAGAGAATGTATGATACCTTTTTTATTTAGGTAGAAACGATAAATCGTTGAAAACATAAATAAATTAATAAAAAAAAAACTTTTTAAAAACATGCCTTTATATTATATAAATTGTGTAATGTAATAAATGGGTTTGATTTAACTTAATGTTTGTTGTTTTATTATTAAGGTAATTTTTATTTGTGTTCTTCTCAGCAAGCTCTTTCATTTGCTATCCATATCATGGGGGCGCATAAAAAAAATAGTCCGCCATCCTTGGGAGTCCGCCATGTTGGATTGCGAAAGACGTCACTTATCTAACAATGTATTGTCATCTAAACTACACGTGCATGCAAAAATTTAGCTAAATCGGTTGAGGATAATTGCTTTAAAATTCAGTTGCAAGATTTGACCCGAACGACATTGCAAGTTAATTAAAAGCTTGTAAAAATATATTTTTTTCATATTAAGTAACCTACACTGCACAATAAGATAAAAGATAGACACGGTAGCTTGCCTGATATAAATGTATATAATGATAAAAAATCCGAAAATTATATGATTACCTTGGATTTGTAGTTAGATAAATCACGCAGTAATCTTTCGCTAGACGATCCCATAGAAAACAACATTACTGCTGAAGCATTTCGATATTCGACACCTGCTACAGGTGGAAATGCCAAATAGCCTACGAAGAAAATGTATGTGTAATATTATCCATACTTCCATACTAATATTATAAATGTGAAAGTGAGTGTGTTTGTTTGTTTGCTTGCTTGCTTGCCCTTCTTTCACGTCGAAACGGAGTGACGGATTCGCGTGATTTTATGTGTGGAGATAGTAGGAGGGTACTTTTTACCGCGGTAGTTTACCTAATTCCCACGGGAAAACATTTTATAATACAATCCAAAAAAATATTTATAATCAGAATACTTGAAACTTGGTATTAATGCTCTTCAATAAAATTAAATAAATATGTGTTTTAGCATTTTTCGTCTTCATTCAATTCATCCTATAAGAGGGTATAATAGGGGATGAAAGTTTGTATGAAACTACCATTTTTAGGGATTTTTTTTTGTAGTTTTAGCTATTTAACATTCATTTAGATTTAATTTTGTCCAATAGTAACAATAATGCGCAATTAAGTAACAGATATTTTCATTAAGTTCCACAGGATGATGATGTGTATTGTTTTCCGTTTGCAATTACAAAAAAAACATGACTCAAATTCCTTAAAAGCATAATAAAGAAAAATTGAAGAAATTAAATAATGGAATCTTAAATTAATAATAATTATATTTTAATCAACACATATTTATTCTCATAAATTGGAACAGATGAGGATCGACACCATCTATGGTATTTTTAAACACCCGAATTTTTTTTTAAATAACCCGAATAAAAAACTCAATTAAGGTTGTTCAATTCTTCGTATGGGATGGAGCATCTGTACTATATAGTATAGTATTATATCATTTATGGTACATAATTAAAATGTAACCACGAGTACGTTTTAATGTTATCTTAAGTAAAAGAAACATACAAAAGGAGCATTATGTATGTTTTTTTAAGTGTCTGCATAGACAATATTAAAAAAAAAATATTTTTGTATTTTTTGTTTTTTATTTTTTTGTTGTTTAATGTTTTTTTAAGCGTCTGTATAGTTATGAGCGATTCTACACTTACCACTATTGTTCCACAAATAATCTATCAAAGTTGAAACACTGAATACTTTAGCCAGCGTAATGCTGATTGGCTTCTTGATGCTGACATATATAGGTATGTTCATATGGTCGTGGAGGTTGCGACCAACTTGCTCGTTCTCAGATATCTGCTCTATCCGGAGCCTGAAAGTATTTTAAGTAAAGGTACCTGAGAAAGTAATTTTATATGTTTTTTTATATCTTTTTATTATCTGTGTAGCATTTAGGTACCTATATAATAGGGGTTAAAGTATGAAATTGCCGTTTTATTGTAATAGGTACTTCGAATTGACATAGAACCTTCATGGTTTGAGATTTTTGAGTGAAACTTTTTTCACATGGTACCTATGTAGGTCTTCTTTTAAAAAATGTGCAACATTCGATTATCGACTTTCAGTTGTTTTTTTTATTCAGCTTAGACAAGAAAAATGGATACTTCGAAAATTCGAGTGATTTTTGAATACGAGTTCCGACGCGGAACTAACCATTACTGCTACATGATAACGCGAGATCTCATACAGCACGAGAAACCATTTAACTCTACAGGAACTGCAATTAGAAACCATTCATCATCCTCCGTATTCGCCAGACCTTGCTCCAACGGACTACCATTTTTTTCGTGATTTGGACAATTTTCTGCGTGATAAAAAGTTTTCTTCTCAGGAGGCAGTACAAAATGCTTTCACACAGTTTGTCGAATCTAGATCACCAGAGTTCTATCGCAAATGACCTTCCTATTAGATGGCAGCAATGTATAGATAATAATGGTAATTATTTTGATTGAATAAATATGTTAAATAAAAAAAAAAACGATTCGCAATTTTTCAGTACAAATCGGCGAATTCATACTTTACCTCTATTATTTTAATCTTCTAACTAATTTAAATTTTTAAGTAAGCTTGTTGCAATGTAATGCAATTTCATAGCATTATTCATCATCAGGAGTTTATCTATATATATATTAAAATTGTAACTAAGCCGAATCTGTACATTAAATATTTTTTGGAAAATCTTATTGAAATAAACATTATTATCGATACAGAGGCCGAATCTATAGTTTTTAGAATCTTTTTCTCTCTGTCTGTCTGTTACCGCATCACAGAAAAACCACTGGAGGGAGTATGGTGACAGCTGGTTATCCGGGTCAACGTATAGGATACTTTTTACCGCGGGAAGATATCTCTTTTCTGAGAAAAAATACAAAAACTGCAATGTAGTAGTATGTTAATATGTAAAACCTAAGAATTTGGTTTTTGGTCATCTCAACGCGAGCGAAGCCGCGGGCAATGCTAGTGTGATATATTGTTAACCTTACATTATGGTAAATGAAATATGTTGATTTTTGGGACTTTTTCAAAGCTTTTACCTTTTTATTAATTTTTTCGGACCAATTCCTGATAATATCATTATTTGTGGTGTCTTTATGGAACCGGCGCTTAATATAATTTCTTTGTTAACAAATATGTTGTCCAGATTTCGGTGATCTTGTAAAATATAGAGAGATACTGCTTTCTTATCTTCAAATCTGATCTGAAATGTAGTATGAAGATATATTAAACGTAATACTTTCTTAGATTTACGCTAATATTTGACATTTTAAATAAAACTATCTTTTCGGATTTTGTCCGAAATCCGAAATCCGAAAAGATAGTTTTATTTAAAATATATTAAACGTATATAATTATTATACTCGGCAAAGGAAATAGGTAGAAAGACGTAAGGTTTCTTGCTTACAACATAATATATTTAAATATTATTGCAATACCTATGTATGTACTTATAGCTTACCTATTAAAAAAATGGTCAGTTGATATTTTTATTTAAAGTCCCACAATTGGCCAGCGTGGTATACTATGGCCTGATTCTACTCATATTGAAGTGAGGCCCTTGCTTAGCAGTGGACGTAAAAAAAGGGCTGAACACATACATTCTAAAGGAAAATGTTGTATGCCTGAAACCTTACGAAAGAGGCATAACGAACCCGTAACGAAGATATTGTAAAAAAACTAGAGTAATACTGTAGATATGATATAGTAAATACTTGTGTATGACTATACAGTAAACTGCCTCGGTGGTCTTGTGGCTAGAATATACGGCTGCACATCGGGAGCTCCTGGGTTCGAGTCCCGAGTCGGCTTAATTTCTCTTATTGAGTATGTATTTCTATCGAGATATTGTCAGTAATAGTCCGGAGTTGAGAATTTGGAGTTGTTTTACCCCCGTGCCTAAATTGAATTTGCCGCCGTGCCCAAAAACAGTTGGAAGGATGAAAACGGTGCGAAAATATATCTACACATGTTTAGAATTGTTTGTGTATCTATTTGTGATTGTGTAACTTTGGAACTACAAGACAGATTAAGATTATGTTTACACAACATAGTAATCTGCTTTGTTGACACAATCATTGTTCATATAATTGTTTATATATGGTGTTGGACTTAAGCTACTGAAAAATGTTGTATTTATGGACCAAATGAATGAAAAGTATTCAAAATTAAAATTCAAAGGCTATAATTATGCTGACTTACAGAGATCGCTTGGGTATTGAGTAGCACATGTAAATTAGGTCTTTTGAGAGCTGGTTTAAGGTAACCATCGTAGGTTTGATATCGGCTACCGTCTTTTACACTCGCTGTCGCTTTTCTGAACAACGTGTGTCTATCAGCTAGATTTGATGATGCTTGCTTGAACACTTTCAACATTTCGTTGTCTTCTTCTATGAGCTTAAGTTTCATTGGTGCCTTAAATAAAAAATATTTTAACCATTATCTTCGATTAATTTAATAATAAAAAGAATTAACTTTTTTATTTATACGGAGATATGGGCCAGAGTACATAATCTACTTTTTCCAGTGATCCAATTGCAAAAAATATAATTAATCAGATAATATTTTATAACCTCTGAACACAATCCTTTCGGTGGACAGTAGTCGGAATCAAACTCGCTTTTCACAGTCCCAAAAGCTCTAAAAAAATATGGCTTCAAATCGTCTATCGTCCATCCTTTGAAGCCTAGTCTCGACCATCTATTGTAGTCTTCAGGTAGGCCGAAACCATGTAGCAGGAAGTTAATTTGGCTGGACCCTCCAGGACCTTTTCCACGCGGAATAATTGGTACCTAAAATCAACAGTGAGGTGATATGTGTACATAAATTTATATAAAGAAAGTAAAAAAACTTCGTCGGTGGGCGTCGATAGTGATTCTCTTTCAATTTAATGCCTTTGATACCTACTTAGTATCTATTGTTACTGTTTAAAAGGCAGTGGTAGCCCAGTAGTAACGCGCTCGTTTGGGAAACCGAGTGAAGCGAGTTCAAATCCCGGGTCTCGCACCTCTGATATTTTCATGTGCGAATCTTTTCCAACATGATTACCACTTGCCTTACGGTGAAGGAAAACATCGTGAGGAAACGTGCATGTCTGAGAGAACCTAGCAAATTTTCAAAAGACATGTGAAGTCCGCCAATCCGCACTTGGCCAGCATGGTGGACTATGGCCTGATTCCTCTCGTACTGAAGGGTGGCCCGTGCCAAGCAGTGAGACGTTAAAAGGGGCTGAATACATACATACATCTATAGACATATTAAAATGATCATTTACAGGCACTCTGAAACATCAAATTACTATTTAAATTAAAGTGTAGATACTGCCTTCTAAATTACATAAAGTACTTAATTCACACTTAAGAGTGAAATTTTATTACATTCTACATGGTGACCACCGTTTTATGTAGGTTATATTCTATAGGTATAGTCTTATTATTATTTTTAATAAATAGGAGAGAAGAGATACAACTTATTAATTAAAATAAAATTTTTAAAAATATATATGAATTAGTGTAGACAACTCGTAACAAACAAATAAAATATATCCAATTGAGTTCCTCGTCCTTTTTGAAATCGATCAGAATACAATAATTATTATCAATATTCGACTTCATTAACCTGATTCCGTAATCCAAAGGAAGAGTATTTTTGCGATGTGGCGTGCACCGACCAGTCGTTGGGTCCTTGCTGTGCAGCGGTGGAAACTAAGGGTATCTTGGTGAAATAGCTCATATGGTCTCCAGCTTCTATTAGCAACACCTTGACTGTTGGGTTCTCTGAGAGCCGAGAGGCGAGGACACATCCTGCTGTTCCAGCTCCAACTAAAAAGAAAGAAATCTCTTTTTAATTATACATTATTTTATGAACTTACCTACATAAATTAAAATTTAAATTTTTTAATCATTTCGTGGTAAAATACCGTTACTTTTGCTCCACTTTGGCTTTCTTAAAAAAAAAAGTTTAAACCAGCGAAAGCCTTTCCTTTTAGTAGCTTATGCTACTTTCGACCAAATCCACCACCCGTAGAAGAGCCAGATAAAAACTATTAAATTGTCGATAAAGAAAACGAGATATAGGCGAGTCTATGACAGTATCTCAGAATCAGATCAGAAGTTTTATTGTTGGTCTGGGCTTTAGTAATAATTTGGAAAATTAGGATTATCCATACCGAGAGATATCTGTTTTGATTTCGTTAGCATAAAGCGTTCATCGCTGTTCATCCATCCCATTATCATAAATGCGAAAGTTTGGATGAATGGATGTTACTCCATCACGCCGGAAGGCTGAACGGACTTGGATGTAATTTGGCACAAAGATAGATTATAGTCTGGAATAGCACATACATAGGTTACTTTGTATTCCGAAAAATGTACGTGTATGATAGATTTGTTTTTCACTAGAGCGAAGTGAGGGTGAGTTGCTAGTTATTCATAATATAAAGATGAATAAAATACACATATATTTTGTAGGCATAATTCGTTGGCTCACTATTACAAGGTTCTATGTTAATTTTTATAAAGTTTAGTATTTTTTACATAGAACTTTGTTATTTTGTCATCGTAAAAAAAACAACATAGAACTATGTAAAATAGAATATTTTGTAGTTAAAGTGCCGCTATATAGTGATTTGTTTTTGCAAAACTGTAGCTAATGACACATAAAACCTTGTAGCATTAATAACTAAATAAGTACTAAAATTGTAACATAGAACCTTGTAATTGTGAGCCAAAAATATAATATTATAGTTTATTTAATTTTGTAGACATATGTATGTACCGCTGAAATGAGGTGTCTTTACTGGCTGAGGGAGGTCAAAGAAACGATTCTTGGCCGTAATTGGATTTACGGTTGATCATTATATTAGAGTTTTAGAAAAACTAATATATAAATATTTGCGCCTGGCAATATTGTAATAGCAATTTATATTTTATGAAATATATGAAGGTTTAGGGATTTTACTATAAGGCGCTATTCGTTGTAATATCATCATCCACCACTGAATCATTTTAATTTAGCCTATAAAAATATAGGTAAGTTATTTATTACCTTATAAATTTATTTTTATTACTATTAACTATCAATAACGATCACGGATCTTACGTAATAGATACCTATAGGTGAATCACAATATGTCAACTAATTTTTTAAGAGGTATCATCAGCTTTAGTCTTTTAGAAATCATTCCTAGTCGTCGGTTTTTAGAAGTAACATCAACAGGTGACAGTACTATTTATATGATAATAACAGAAGCAATAACTTCTTGGACAGTAAATATGACGATTTTTTTTATATACCAACATTAACGACTCACTCGTTTCGCTCGTCGCTAGCTATTATAGGCACAATTTTGAAACCTAGAACGTTAAATTATTGCAATTTTTATGGGGATTTCTAATTTTTTTGAAAATAAAATATGGGCCAATGATAATATAGCTTTCGATAGGTGAATGAATTATCAAAATTGGTTCAGTAGTTTTTTATTTTAGTTTATCCATTACAAAAAAAAATCCTTTTTTTTCTTTATAAGTCATATTAGATAGATATAGATAATACATAGACTAAATAGTGAATTTATCACCACCAATATATTAACAACACTAAATAGTCCTTTAGAATAAAATATGTCAATACTTTTTTGAGTCCATCACCCGCCACGCTATTTCACGCAAACAAATCAAAAAGTGGAAAACGAAATTCTTAATTCATAAAGCTTTACCTTATAACGAATTTTATCTTATTACTAGCCTTACCGATGATGTAATCATATCTTTTTTCAGGTTTGGTAACATAGCTCGTGTACACATTGGTGTATTTTTGGTAAACGAAATAAGAAACACACGCAACTAATATACTAATGATGTATGAATGGACTGCCATTTCGTTTTATCAAAGTGAACTGTTTCCACACTGTAAAGGAAGTTGACTGGGTGCTGCTTAATCCAGACATGCTATCGGTACTAATTGGATTAGACAGAGACAAATAACATTTTAACCAAATTAGAACTTTTAAATTAGATTTATTCATTTTCTTTATATTAAACATGCCTTGTTTGTTAAGTGGATGGTTTATAAACCCATAATTATATAAAGATGAGGTTTAAGTTTTAAGTTTCGCCAAGAATTATTGGATTCTTCTCTTAAAAAAATTTCAAGAGAATCCCGGTTATGAGAAGTTGCTTGTTTTAGTCCAGCTTCTAAGTAAGTTTTTTTTTAACTATTTATTAAATAATCATTAGTTTTAATAATAATAATTAAATATTAATATGTGAGATTTATCAAATATTGCTTATAATTTAAGCAGCCATAGGTATGTACTAAATGGGTGAAATGAAAGAAAACGTTTCTTATTATAAAAAAAGGTTTTCAATCTCTGTATGAAAACCTAAGGGGATTAAAGTATTGGCGGCGGTGGAAATCAATACTTTATTTATACTATGCGATTTTTTAAAGGTACAACTTGAAGAGAACACAATGTACATTTGTGCTAGCTAATAAGAAAAAATATGTGAGTTTTATGTCAGGGGCCTGTAATTAAGAGGACTGGAGACTCTAATAGCATACATAATTCGTTGGCTTACTATTACAAGGTTCTATGTTAATTTTAATGAAGTTTAGTAATTTTTACATAGAACTTCGTTATTTTGTTATCGTAAAAAAACAACATAGAACTATGTAAAATTGAATATTTTGTAGTTATAGTGCCGCTATCTAGTGGTTTGCTTTTGCAAAACTGTAGCTAATGACACATAGAACCTTGTAGCATTAATAACTAAATAAGTACTAAAATTGTAACATAGAACTTTGTAATAGTGAACCAACGATTATGTACCTACCTAGGTCAATTTTGTACGTTTTTCCCTGTAAAGAACTCTATATTCTAAACTATCAGAAAAGAGAATGGACTTTCTACAGATTACACGTAGATTGTATATTTATTAAAATAATCAAATGCGTATTTGTATCACAACTTTTATACTAAGGGTTACTTTCCACGACACAATAAGTATATGTATGTATGTGTGTATATATATTTATTTTTCCTTATTTATAATAATTACCTACGTAGTTGATATATTTTAATATTATGTTTAGACGACTAATGCTGTACTGTACCTTTAGCATTAAATTACATTATACCATATACCACATAAAATTAACTTTATTTCTCACTTCTGAAGGGTTTCTGGAACAAATCTCTTAAAGTGATAAGTTATCTCTTGTCGACATTCTGTTACTTCATTTTGTATATTATATACATATATTTTATTATTATTGTATATTATATTTTCGAAGTCAGTGCCAGCCGACAATATTTTAAGATATGAATATATAGGTAATAGGTAAATATGTATTTTACGTATCGAAATATATTAGATTTGCTTTGCATCGGCTGGCACCGACTTCGAAAATATCTGATTAGGTAATATTTTTCCTAATTAAAACCCCCCTTTAGATATTTTTTACATTTTAGTGCCTAGAAGTCGGTTTTTATTATTTTTTCAAGTTTTTATATAAATACAGCACTTAACTACAGCACCACCCTTCAAATATAAGAAGGTATTCAAAATTAAGTGATATATACATATATATACAAAAGCATCTAAATGACAATATTTTTTTTTATTTGTTTGTAAAAACAGAAAAAAATGCAAAAGCAAGGCCAACAAAAGTTTGTTTGTTTTTGTTTGATTGAACTTTAAATTGAAAGTTGTTTTAAATGTCACAAAAATAAAACCTTCTTTATTGACTCAATTAATGGTTCAGTCACAGAATTGAACTCTAATTAACCACACTGCGAGTAATATTTTTATCATGCATATTTTAGACGACTTTACAAATTGTGAAAATGATGTACGATTGGATAAAAAAGTGGCGATAGTCACTGGGGCCACAGCGGGTATTGGACTAGAAGTTGCCAAGAATCTAGCAAAGCGTGGAGCCAAAGTCATCATAGCAAGTCGCAATCCTGCCAAGTTGTTAGATGCAAAAAATACCATCATCCACAGCTCTGGTAACGAAAATGTTATTACAAAGACAATGGACTTCGAATCTCTCAAATCCATTCGCAATTTTGCCAATGACATCAACACGTTCGAGCCGAGGCTTGACATATTAATTAATAATATCGGAGCCCTCGGACTAGAAGATCGATTGACTGCTGACAACTTACACACTATGATGCAAGTTAATTACTTTGGAGCATTTTTATTAACTTTTCTTCTTTTTCCACTAATGAAAGCATCAGCGCCTAGTAGGATCATAAACGTGTCATCTTTAGGTCTTATTTTAGGGCAAATTGAAATTGATCACATGAATGATGTAGGAAGATACTCCAATTTTGGATATTATTGCAACGCTAAATTAGCGACTGTGTTATTTACGGTGGAAATGGATAAAAGAATTAAAAGCAGTGTTAGCAGTTAGCAGGTTTAGCTAATTCGGATTTTTTAAGGAACTATGATAATACTCCATTGAAGAAATTGTTGAACTTTGGAATTCCATTACTTGCGAGGCCCTTGAACCGAGTAGCAACAATGCCAGTCTTCTTAGCTGTCGACCCCAGAGTTGAAGAGTCTAGTGGAAAGCATTTCCGTGATTGTGCCGAATTCTACAGCTCCTGGTTTGCTAATAATACTGTATTAACTAAAAAATTATGGAGAAAATCTAAAATGTTGGTCGGAATTACACCCCAAGAAGATTGGGAAAACTTAAATACCTAAAAATTATTATCATATAATATCTATATGCTCTTATTAGTTAGCCGTTTGTTATTAAATTTATTTATCTTTTATGTAATAAAAAATAATTATTGAAACTTTGTTTTATATATACTTTTTATTAATGTCTTTAGATTCATTTTTAACCGACTTCCAAAAAGGAGGAGGTTCTCAATTCGTCGGATTCTTTTTTTTTATGCATGTTCTCCTATTACTCGAAGACGCCTGAATGGATTTGTAAAATTTTGTTTCAAAGGGTTATACTTCCCAGGTGGTCCCATATAAATTTTATCAAAATCGGTCAAGCAGTTTTTAAAAAAATCAACAATAAATATTTTTTTAAACAAATTGAATCCAATATGTAATAAAAAAACATTCTTCTTACAAATTACATGCTTATTACGTCTTCACTAAAAATAGAAAAATAAGTAAAAACTAAAAAAAAACGACTTCGAGAAACTACTACTTTTTTAAGTTTTTATTCAGTGTTGCTATTGATATAATATTTAAAAACAAGTGTCTTTTATTGCACATAAAAAATATTTCTTATGCAGTGATGGAATTTTATTTAGGAAAGTTTTATCCATTGTTCCGGCTAATGAAATAGTTGGACTGATTTTGATGGGACTTTCACTGGCAGATAGCTGATGTCATAAGGTGTATCTTGGCTATTATTGAATTATTGTTCCACTCAAAACAATTAAAACATATCTAGGGATGCACTCGAGTGTAGCAAGGGTATGTAGCTAGTACATCTATACATATAATAAAATTGTAACTAAGCCGAATCTGTACATTACATATTTTTTGGAAAATCTAATTAAAATAGATATTATTATCAATACAGAGCCCGAATCAATAGTTTTTAGAATTTTTGTCTGTCTGTTACCGCATCACGAGAAAACCACTGGACAGATTTTGATGAAATTTGGTATGATGATAGCTGATTATCCGGGTCAACATATAGGATACTTTTTACCGCGGGAAAATATCTCATTTCTGATTTCTGAGAAAAAATACAAAAACTGCATTGTAAGAGTATATGAATATGTAAAACCTAAGGATTTGTTTTTTGGTCATCTGAACGCGGGCGGAGCCGCGGGCAATGCTAGTACTTATATAAAACAAGCAATTTTTTTGCGTATAACTTATATTTCATATTTTACATTTTATAATTCAACATTGCCTAAGTCTTCAATCATTTCCCCAACAGCAGGAACCATGACAGGTGCTTCTATCACTTGTTTCCTTCCCTTAGCATCGACAACTTCAATTGTTTCAGGTTCAACTTCCATTTCTTCAGCTTGCTTTTGTTTAAGACCAGCGGCAGGCGACCTGAAAAATATTAAGAGTATGATACAATACATATTAATATTATAAATATGAAAGTAATTCTGTTTGTTTATATTGAATTAAATGATTAAATTAACTTTTAATTTTTTCCTACATATTTTTTTTTACTATTACCTAACATAAAGTACTTGGATGAAAATTATTCAATCAAATGAAATGGGGAACACTTCTAAGCCCTAAAGTTGTCACATAATGGGATACACCACACTGATCACAATTTTTTATTGTATTGCAATATTGTAAAGAAATATTATTTTATAAGAGCAACTGTTGAGTTTCTCGCTAGCTCTTCTCAGCAGAATTGCCTTCCAAGCAGGTGGTGGATTCCTTACACATTGATGTTTAATTTGAATTTAGAAAATATAAAAAGTGATGAATCAAAAGTGCTTGTATAGAGTATTTTTTGATTTGATTAATTCTGCAGTCTGCCACACTTATCATTATGGTTTTGTAAATTATTAGTTTTAATTAGTTGTTTATTCACCTTTCTACTAGTTGATATCGGTTTTCAAGGTTAATTATCATCTTAAAAAGTAAATAAAAATAATACTATAATTATTAATTATATCAATGAAATAAAACTGAGAAAGTTGATTTATTTCACTTTCTTTCACAAAGTTAACTGTAAATATTTTCATTATAAAGTTGCATCATGTTTTAATTAATATTGCAAATTAGAAACAAACTTCTGACATGGCAATATCTTGGATATGATTACACAAGAAGGTGTAAATTAAATGAAAATATAAATAAAGTAAATAGTTTTTACTATTATTAAAAAAGAAGCTTTAGTAGGTACCTGATAAGTGATATATCTCTTTGGACTTCTCTCACATCTCGTTGCCATTCTACTTCGCGTCCTTTCCTTAATCTCTGCATAATATAGTTATTTGATCTCTTCTGCCTGATTTCTTCGACCTTCTTCATGGCTTCAATGGTCTTAGTCCACAATTCTCTGTTATATTTCAACGGTACGTGACGACGCTTCTCAAATTCGAACGATGGGTCGATAGCCAATTCCTTTCCAGCAGTCTTACGGTATGCCTTGGTCCATTTGGTTTTACGTGGGTTCTTCTTCTTTTTGAATGCAGCATGGCATTTTGAACGGCAAAATCTGAAAATCTAAAGATGTTGTCTACAGTTACAAATGCAACAGTGAAAAATTTATCATTTTTGGCAGGACGTGTATTTATTTTTGCTTACCTTGCAGTCATTTCTCACAAATTGAATGCCATGGCCAGGATATATCCTGGAGGAGCAGAAATAACAAGTTTCAATACGCATGATCACACGTGCTGTTTTGGTTGTTTGACAGCACGTCAAAAAAAGAAAGATGGCTAGAGAACCATTTGTATTGCCATATATTTGTGCAAAAGTTAAAACTAATGTACAAAAATATATAATAATACTGTCGTACATTTTCAATAATAGTAGATATTTTAGATTTTAATATTTATTAAAAAAATTATAAGGTTGCTGTAATATTAAATTTAAGTTAATAATATAATAAGCCCTTGACTAGCGCCATCTATTGACTAGTAGAATTAGACAATTTCTTATTAGTTTTACTATTGCACTATAGATGTCGCAGCAAACCTTGATTTATATTTAGAAAAAGTTGAATTAAACTTAATTTGATTGGAAATTCGAGAAAAACATATGTATATAATTTATCTGTCTATAGAAAAAAGTGACTATTCCCAAAAAAATCTAAATACATTAAAGCTCGCAATAGCTAGGTAGTGAACAAAAAATCTGTTGCCTATTTATATTATATCGTTAAAATTGTAGCTAATACGATAATTCGTAACAACTTAGTTTTTTTACTAAACGCAAGAAGAATACAAATTCACAAATCGATTACGATGTTATATTAAAAATTAAGTCAGAAGGTTTCAAATAATAAATAATTATATTTATAATTACTGTTTTGAAATATTATCTAGGAAAGCAATAGTTAATTATTAATAAATATATCTACAAGCATGTTCTTAGACAATGAAACTTGTAACAGTATACCCAATAACATTATGCTCATTTAGTTAAGCTAACCATAGCCAATAACCATAAGTTAATAGAGAAACGTGTTGCCGGAATACCACATAGCGGATAAGCAATTTAACTTTTCAGTTGACTGCCCGATTGATAGCTTTCCTAAAATACCGGCGTATTTACCTCTAACATTCTATGTTAAGTGTTTAATTACTTAAAAATAATTAAATTTAAAATATACTATGTTTTTTTTTATATTTTTCCATTTATGATGTTGGTACTGGAAGCTCAGCCTCATTTCTCAAGATGCAATAGAACGAGATGAAGTATGTACATTGCACACCTAAGAGCTTTCATGAAACATGAGTCGTAACTAGGGATGTTATGGAGCTCTGTAACCGTATCCCAAACTATCGGATTTTATTGTAAAGTGACTCAATGCAAAACAAATTATTACTTCCTATTTGAAAGATGAATGAAAAAAAAACTCACTTTACACAAAAAGTATAAAAATTAAATGGATTCTAGTTATATAGTATTGTCATAAATAATTAATAGATAAATAGAAAGGTTTGCTTTATATCGTGGGATTCTCTAACAGTTGGTTACTCGAATGCCGCATAAAGTTAATTTAAAAAGCCGGTTCCGTATTTAGCCTAATTGAGAGACTTCCTTTGAGGCCTTTTCGAAAAAAATTCTCATGGTTTCCATGACAATTATCATTCCAAACTAAATCAATAAAAATAAGTCAGCTCACAATCTCAGACTAACGAATAATATAGACAGACTGTTATAGAACTAAACATGAAGCCACACAAGAATGATTTAAAATAGTATAGACAAATAACAATTTGTATGATGTTTTAATTATAAACAATATTGTTTATAAATAAATAAATAAGCTAATTTTATGCTATCTGTCGTTCTAGGGAAACGGAACTAATGCTTAAAAATACACAAGAAAATAGTATTATTTTTATTATTTATATTTTATTCTTAAAAAAAATTCTGACGCATTAAGAACCTCCTTTTTGGAAGTCAGTTAAAAATTGTATATTAATTAAGCAAATATATATATATATATATATAAATATATATATATATATATATATATATATATTGCTTAATAATATATAATCGCTTATTCTTAGAAGAAAGTAAACTATTGGTATGGGAAAATCGAGAGTAGTAGCATAAAAAGTAACTTATCCTACTATTTTTGGCTTTGATATTTATTTTAGCGGACTCCATAATACTTTGTTCTCGAGTTCATACCACAACACGGAAGGGGACATTGAGAAGGAGATGGATATGGTTTAGAAAATAAGCTAATCGAGCTCAAAAACATAGAAGCAAATATTCGTTATCCATACTAATATTATAAATGCGAAAGTGTGTTTGTTTGTTTTTTGTTTGTTTGTTTGGTTTTTTTGTTTGTTTGTTTGTTTGTTTGTTTGTGACGGATTGGCGTGATTTTTTTGTGTGGAGATTGTTGGAGGGCTGGAGAGTGACATAGGATATTTTTTACCGCGTAAGATTATCTAATCCCTACAGGAAAACACTCCAAAAAATTATAATTATAATACAATCCAAAAAATTATTTATGATGAATTACTTGAAACTTGATATACTTAAATGCTCTTCAATACAATTAATTAAACACGTGTTTTAGCATTTTTCGAAATTCATCCTATAAGGGGGTAAAATCGGGGATGAAATTTTGTATGAAACTAACTTTTTAGAGTTTTTTTTACAGTTTTAGCGCGAGCGAAGCCGCTGGTTCTGCTTGTAAGTTATAAGTAACTATTCTATATGCTATAAGAAATAGGTATATTTTTCAGAAAAATAGAATAGGATAGTGAAATAGAATATTCCCACATATTCTAAAGCTCATACTATAAAAAAGCTTACAAATAGTCTTTTTATTCAGTAATTTGGTGGTGTGTAGTAATTTATTTTTTATTTAGTCTCAATACGTATTCTAAAAGGTAGCGACACCTTTGAGAGCCGCGAGCAGCGTGTTAATTAATAAATTTGTATGGAGTCGGCTTTTTTAGGACTTGATTACCATTCAAAATGGTAGCTTATTTACTGTTTACTGAATGTCGAAGCAATGAAAATTGCATAAAGTAACACATTCTTTTGTTACAATAAAGTTTGTTTTATTTCACCGACCTTAAAATAGGTAATGTATTGAATTTAATATTTTTTAATTTCTACTCAGAATATGTAAATGTATGTATGTATCATGTACATGTACATGTATCATGTATCCGTGTAGGTTTATTATTTATATAATGAATAAAATAAAATATTATTTTGGTTGAGCTTTTCTGCGAGTTTGATTTGTATTGATAGTTCTGTAATCTGTACCTACCAGTTACCACTAAATATTATATACTCGTATCTATAAAAATAAAAAAGCAGGGTTTTTCTTCTCATTCGATGAAAGTCAGATGTAATGGATTAATATTTATGATTTTATATTATTACCTACCTATACAAAAAAGGGTATTTTTCGGTACGTAGATAGCTTCTAGAGAGATACTCGTATTATTACATTAATTATTAAAAGAGAAAGGTTTCAGTTGGTTTTAATGGGTAGTACTGGCTTTTGTAGTCGATGAATACTATATAACTTATACGTATGGTGGCAAGTTTAAATTCGTTTCCAAACGTTAAGAAAAGGCTATCGGAATATATATATAGGGCATTCCACGCCAAATCGGACGGTTTCAAAAAAAATATTTTTGATTTTCTTAATATTTTGGTATTTTAAGTACCTCCCAAAAGAGGTTTCCTGGTAAATTTTGTGATTTTTTGGTCACTATTTCGAAAGCGCTCATTTTTTTGGTTTTTTGCTCATAAATTTCTTAATAATGGTCAAAATTCAAGTTTTTTTCAAAATTTTTGCTTTTGGATTACATTTACAAAAATATATTATAAAAAAATATTTAAAATCGAGATTTTTGAATTTTAAGTTTTCAATCGTGTTTTTAAAACTGTATCCTTCGATTTTTTTTTAATTTCCTATTTTGAAATTCAAAAGTCTCGATCAAAACATTTTTTTACGTACAGGTAATCCAAAACCAAAAAACTCGAAAAAAAATTGAACTTCGACCATTATTAAGAAAGTTATGAGCAAAAAACCAAAAAAAGAGCGTTTTGTTTGAAAATTCGATATTATTGAAGCATTGATCAAAAAAATCTCAAAACTTACCAAGAAGCCTTTTTTGAGAGATACTAAAAAATACCAAAATATTAACAAAATCAAAAATAAAATTTTTTGAAACTGTCCGATTTGGCGTGGAATGCCTCATATGTTACTTCTTCAGTCTTTAAAGGCTGGATGGATTTGGACACAAATAGACAATGGAACTTGAGTAGTACACAGGTACCTTTTAAGTACCTACAGACGCATCGGAGTGAAGCGAGGGTACTACTTCTTAGTAATAAATTACTCAGTTAAAGTTTACTAACCTATTACTTATCAACGCCAAGATTTTCTATACATATAATAATATTGTAACGTATATATAAGAAAAACATTGTCATGTCATGTCATTGTTGTAAAATTACATATGAATATTATATTAAAAATCTATACGTATCAAAGAGATGCAGATAGCATGCCTATAGATCGATTATAATTAATTATTTAAAACAAATCTGAATGTTAAAGAGCCATCACGGTGGTCTATGCATATGTTAATTAAATGCATGCCTCGCTGGATCGTGTTATGTTATATTAGATTATTTTGAATCAGTGCGTTCTTACAGTCTAGGACCTATGTTATAAGATAGTGATTTTTTTCTATTACGTTTTTATTTTTATATACATATAGAAATCCGACGTGAGTTTGTTTTAATTATTTTCTTTCTAAAATTACTAATTTTGTCGATTTTTTTTGAGTACTATGAGATGATCTAGATGGTTGTTTCTTCTTAGTTCTTACTCATAGTTGGATAGGGTTGGTGGTACTCTCCCCCCACGTGCATTTACCTTGTCGTGGTAGGGGGCTCAGTTGTGTCCGGTAATACAGCTGGCCACGAAGCCACGAAACGTACTGGAAGGCGGCCCACCTCGGTGTATGCGGGTGTACTTCTCTGATAGCAGAGTGGACTGTGTATACAAAATTAAATAAAAGAAAATTTCCTACAATTTATGTAATAACATTTTTTTTTGTAAAATCAATAGTTTTGGCTGTGAGCGCCGCAAAGTGTACTTCACCATGCGTTTTGGCTAAAAAACTTGTTTCCACATCACTTTGAGGTAGAGTAAGTAGCGCGTT